ATAACAACAAATTTGTAATTTTTTATGTAAATTACAATAAATTAACTTTCTTGCCTAAGTAAATGGGATTAATATTTTTCATGTTAAGGAGATAATTTTATCTCATACACATACATAAAAGTGTGTGAGGCTCATATAAGGTCATGTGATGAAGACAAGAGAGAGAGAGAGAGAGAAATGAACTCCATATACGTACTTTTATGTATATGTAAGAGGTAAATTTATCTTTTATAATACAAGAAATATTAATCCCTAAGAAAATTTCCTAATGTAAGAGTGCGGTTAGCCCCACTGGGAGTGAGACATATGTCTTACTAGGAGTTAGATAGTGCACTTTTATGTGTGTGTGTGGCATATGTGCTTGGAGAAAAGGATTTGGTGCAATCATGGAACATTTATGTCAATTTAAAGATGGGTTAAGTGTATGCTTTTTTAAAAGATATAAGTTGTGTCCTTTTTGTGATTAATATTATGTATTACGAGTAGTATATAGTTTATAATATGAAAAATTATTTTTTTCTCTCCACATCAGTTTAAGTGACTAAGGAGAGAAAAAAAATCAACTTTTCATATTATAACTATGTATTATCCATAGTACATAGTGTTAATTACTAAAAGAACACAACATTACATCCTTTTAAAGGACAAATCTTTTTTCCCTCTAAAAATATAAGAGTTCAAACTCTATGTATATAAAAAAGGGAAAAAGGTGTGTAATTTTAAATGACACACCATATATCCTTTCGATCTCACAAAGAGGTGAGACTTACACATTTAAAATTGTTTCCACCAATTCTCTCTCCCATGATTTATCTCTTTCTTTCACTTAAAATGAAATAACTTTGTGTCCTTCAAAATGATACACATTTTTCCCAAAAAAAATGGTTAAATATGGTCCTTTTATAGGACAAAACTTTTTCACTTTAAAAATATAAGAGTTCAAACCATATGTATAAAAAAAAGGATTACGTGTGGTCCTTTTGTGATATATATTATGTACTATAAGTAATACATAGTTATGATATGAAAAAAAATCTCTCTCTATATCAGCTGAAGTGATTAAGGATAGTAAAAAAACTTTTCATATTATAATTATATACTACTCATAATACATAATATTAATCATTAAAAAAATGCAACCTTAGGTTGTTTTAAAGAACAAATCTTTTTCATCCACCAAAAAAATAAAAAAGAACAAATCTTTTTCCAATAAAAAAACGGAGTTCAAGACCCTATAATGGATCTTAATGGCCGACCAAAGAAACGTGCCTCTGTAACCGGTCCAAAACAATGATTTTTTTTTTTTGGAGAACAAAGACAATGATATTGTAACTTGGCAAAAAAATTAAAATAATGCATTTAAATTAAATAATTACGCATTTAATGTTGTTTTGTAAAAAGTTACACATCTGTTGCACAATGAGACGCCCCACTGGGGCGTCACATGTGACGCCCAAAGGGGGCGTCTCATGTGCAACCTATATATACACCCACTTTCCTTTTTTCACTCCTTACTCATTTATCTCTCTAACCTCTCTCTAACCGCGGTTCGTAGCGAAGCTCTGCCAACGTAGGTAAGGTCATAATACCTCATATGTATACATTTAAATAACAGTGCTAGTTAGTAATACATGTTAGGATTGATTGTATATTAGAGACTTGGAACATTAGGATAGTCACTTAGAAATTTTGTGGCATGCTATGAATGTTGTAATGATATAGTAATTTTATTATTACGTAGTTATTATTATTAATTTTTAATTATGCATTAGGGTTTAGCATATTAATTAGTGATTTATAAATAGTGTTAGGGACTTCGTAAATTTCGTATGTATGATGTTATTAATACGGGAGTGCATAACTTTGTAGTTAGTTAGGTGTGATGATTAGTACGTATTGGACAAGTTGGTAGTGACCTAGGGTTAAGTATTCAGTTAGTATTATATTATTTTTGTCCGATGTATTATTATTATTTAATTGCAAATAAATAACTGTTCTACGTTTTGGCGGGACTTCATAAATTTCGATTCTAGTTAAATAAATGACGCATATGCTTAATTTTTGTGATAATCAATTATGTCACTACATAATTAAATTGTAAATAAAATGGGTTGTTAGATGTGATTAATTTAAATGTTGTTTTATATTATATAGTTGAGGATAATGGCTGAGTCATCATCTTCATAGGGATCTGAGTCAGATGTAGAGCCCACCGATCCCAGCATGTGGATCATCCCTGGGCCGTACAGGTGGAGGGTCCTTCGAAAGAGGACGCAAAAAGCTCATATTTCACAGCGAGTGTGGAATACAGAGCATGTACGAAAAATTAAGACCAGACGTGGGAAGCCACAAGGGGGGCCACTTACCGGTGTTATTCCACCGATTGTCGAAGAGTACCTAAGACAGGCGGGATTCATACATGTTGCCAGGATGCAACATATCCAGGTATGTTATTTACGTCATTTTGTATTTATGTAATTATTCAATAAAATTCGTTAACACGCGATAACTGCGTAATTTATCACAGATCGATACATTTTTAATTAGTGCTCTGGTCGAGAGGTGGAGACCAGAGACACATACCTTTCACATGACCCAAGGTGAGATGACGATCACCTTACAAGATGTGGCAGGCATATTGGGCTTGCCGACTGACGGCAATGTCGTCACCGGATCGACCTCCGAGGATTGGCACGCTGCTTGTGCTGCTGTTTTTGGACATGTTCCAGAGGCTGGTGAGTTCCATCATTCCGGCGACCTCCGCATCTCATTCTTGGATCGGCATTATACCCGGTGGACTGATCATGAGGGGAATCACGTTGCCGAGATCTACTTCACAAAAGCCCACATTGCCCGGATGTTGGGGACTTGGTTGCTGGCGGACAAGTCGGGAGGTAGCAATTTTGGTTGCAGGCTTGTCCCGTTGCTAGGTGGAGGATTTGAGGACATTGACCGATTCAGCTGGGGATCTGCGGTTTTAACACACTTGTTCAGGAATTTGTGTGAATTGACAGATGCCCGTCGAACTGACATGGGTGGTTGCCATATTCTCCTTCAAATTTGGGCATGGATACGATTCCCACCCATTGCTCCACCCTTTCCTCCTCATCCAGAGCCGGGCACACATTATGGATGCCGGTATGATTTATTTACTTCATTTGATTTCGATAATGTATGGTTGATAATGTATATACTAACTGTATACTTTTTGATTATGATTGATAATGAATGTTTCTGATTGACAGGTTTAATACTGTAGAAAAGTTTAAACCTCATGAGGTCACCCATTATCGGACAACATTGGACACACTCTGTAGAGATGAGGTTAGGTGTTGGATACTTACGATGTTGTTATTTCGCTATGGTTTTATTTTTTTTTGTAACTCTATATATTGTTTCTCCTTTTTTTTGTAGGTGGTTTGGCAGCCATATATCGATTATGAGTGGCTTGACGTTACTATAGAGCAGCAGTACCTGTGGCTTGCTGCCACACCTATTATCTACTTCCACACAGTAGAGGCATGTCAACTGGTTAGGTGCATGCGACAGTTCGGTCTTGATCAACCCATCCCGGATAAATCTAGAAAGTTGAGAGGAATACATGATCATACTCTACAGGGGAAGGTTGAAGAGAACTGGAGACGTAAGCTGAGGGCTCACATTGATCGATGGAATACCAGGATTCAACATATTGTACTGCCACCTCCATTATATGGTTTGATGTCTCCTAATCATGCGTACATGGAGTGGTTCAGAGAGAGGGGAAAGCGCTACATATCTCGGAGGGCAGCAAAGATAGGTCGCATGGTGAGTTTTGTACATATTTTACATTTGTTTCACATTTCTAACATGTTTTCGTAATATGCAGATTGATGGTCTTGAAATGCTTTATCATGCAACAACGGCGGAGGAGTTTCCTCGATTTGGCCTACAGTATATCCACGACGAGATTGGCCGGATTATTGGAATGTTTCGCGAGAGTTCACGAGTTGATGAGCCTGGACCTGAGGCACCCCCCGTGCAGACACAGCCTGATCCTCAGTTGATTGTGGATGTTCCTCGTAATAGACGGGAGGGACGCGGATTAGGACATAGACGTGAGAGAGTTGCTGTTGAGCCTGTCCCGATTATGGCACCGAGACCAGTGGTCGAGACTCAGGGATGGTTCAGACCTCCAGTCATTGGTTTTACTTACGGGTCACAGCCGATTTATCATCACGGATCGCAGTATGCGGCAGGTCCTAGTCAGGCAGGGTCTGAGCATCCTTACATGAGTGGACATGACCCAGTTTTCCAGGCGAGTCTGATGGCTATGGCAGGAGCGGATCCGGCATCCTCGCAGCCTGATTTCCAGCCATATTCACAGGGACTTGATGCCGATTACCCCTTTTGGTTTGCAGAGGACACGATTGAGTTGTATCGCTCAGTAGGCCTGGTTACAGAGAGCCATGACAGTGGGGAGACTCTAGCCACAGATTCTCACAGTCAGGGACACACCCCTTTTGATGTGGCAGGCAGTTGTGCAGGACCATCAGATGATTTCATCCGTGCGGCGATGGATGACTTCCACACTCCACCACCACAGGCACAGGTGCATCAGGGAGACCCAGTCTGGGACAGACGGATACTGCCAGATAGGGATGCACGACATAGGCCATGGCCATCGTGGTCGTAGTTTCATTGCCATTTGGAGTATTCACTATGTTGTGGACTGTTTCATATTGTTATTATTTTGTTATTTTGTATTAGTTATGATTGTAGCATGTTGTTATTTTGTGGACGCTACATTATTATATTATTTGGACTATTCACTATGATTTATTATTTATGTTTTGTTTGTCGTTCTTTGCGCATTTATGTTACGGTAACCAATAGCATCAGTTACTTAATAAAACAAGAATAAAAACATACATCAAAAGAACGTAAAAAGTCCGCCATAACGGACATTACAATTCATACAATAACATAAGTAACATCAAAATAATGAAATAATATGTATCTCAGTCGTTTCTCCCACGACTTGGACATCGCCGATGATTATGGCCGCGTTCCTTGCAAAGTCCACACCTGATACGGCTCTGGCTTGTCTTAACTTCATCCATCTCGTTGCGGATGCGAGTTGACTTTGGACGACCTTTTGCACACAACATATTAGAATTAGGAATAATCTTTGGACCACTAATTTCAGGTATTGCTTCCTCGTTTCCGATTGGCTCCCACGAAAAAGAATAAGCCTCGACCAAGTTAGTTATCAAAAAAACGTCGTCAACGTAAGTGAACGCACTCGGCCTAACACTTAACGCAGCAGCAACGACGTGACTGCACGGATACTTAAATGCCTTAAACTTTCCACACTGACAGAATCTCAGTGGGAGGTTGACAGAATATGAACACTCCCAACCTGCGTCAACCTCAAAGACAGTATGTTCAACATTGTATGCACGAACGTGGTGGCCTGTTGCATCTACCTGGTTCTTCTTGACCAATTCAACAACAACTTTGGAGTGACGATGAGCTGATTGAAGTTGTGCAACAACATTTGTTCCTCTCTCAACAAAATATGCAACCAATCTACTATATGTATGCTTAACCAATGCTGTTATAGGCATATTTTTTGCCCCCTTCAAAACCCTATTGACAGATTCAGCCAAATTTGTTGTCATATGATCGTACCTGCGTCCTTCGATATCGTAGGCGCACAACCACTTTTCCTTAGAAATCGCATCAATCCACTCAGCAATTTGAGGACTACTTTCACGGAAACTCGCAAGATTCCTTTCAAAATCAACCATTGCTTGAGTATAACCTGCACAAATTGGACATAAACGAATTAAACATAAATTCACAGTCATAATGGAAAGAAATAATTACGCATCGTGTCAATGAGTATACCTAAATTCTTTAACATCCGCTTCAAATCTTCATTCCGAAACTTTTGATTGAAATTGCTTGCAATATGACGAATACAGAAGACGTGATATGCATTTGGCGGCTGCCAATTAGGGTTATTTTCCACAGCAGATATTATGCTTCGATGCCGATCGGATATCAAACATATGTTTGACATGGTAGTAACATGAGCACGAATATTAACGAGAAAATAATCCCATGCTTCCAAAGTTTCGCCTTCTACGATGGCAAAAGCGATCGGTAAACATTCATTATTACCATCTTGGGTTGTGGCCACCAACAATTTCCCTTTGTACTTCCCATATAAATGTGTTCTATCAATTTGTATGACGGGTTTGGCAAATTTGAACGCCTCACAACACTGTCTAAACGTCCAAAAAAAATGCGATGAAAAACCTTTTTTCCAGAAACTAAGCTCTGCTCCGCATAAAGATCATTTGTTTGTATATGATAAAATGAACCTAGAGAAAAACGAAGCATGTATTCGCACCACCTTGGCAAAAGAGCATACGATTCCTCCCAATCACCGTACATAATTGCCATCGCTTTCTGCTTCGCATACCACGCTTTTCTGTAGGAAACTTGAAAGCCATATTTAGCAGTTATCCTTTCTTGCACCAAAGAGATTGACACAGATGGTTCTGACTTTATCATCCCTGCATTGAAGAAGATACCAGTGCCTCGATAACATCGAACGAATTTAATTGCACGGCAGTACGTAAACATTGACATGTCAATACGGTAAATAAATATGTACCTATGACGAGATCTGCAATAACGTCCGCATCGAGCTGTCTATGACCCTGGGAAATGTGCTCATTCACACATTCGTGTTTTCCACCCCATCTCGTAATCTTCCAATTTTCACGAAACACCGATTTGATCGCCCTTACGCGCCACGGACAACCTTGATCATACACACAACATTTCATGGACAACTTTGCAGGCGTGCTCTCAATTACAATGGCTTCTTGATGCTCCCTAATGAAGTTGTGCTTAAGTGCCATTTGGACATCTTTTTTTGTTGCAAATTCTTGATTGACAAATAACATGTCACCCAGTTGCCACGGACCTTGTATTGAAGCCGATCCAGAGACAGAACCATCAGTACATGATTCTTGTTCGCTCTGATAACTCCAATCAGTGTAGGAATAATGCGGAATTCCTTCCCAAAAAGGAATAACATCTGTGTCACCTGCAATTGCGGATTATAATTTTTTAATACAAACTTACTAATTCAGGTATTAAATCAGTTATCTATTCAGTTATATACAAATGGGAGCAATTACCTTCATGGTGAATACCGAACGGGGCAGACACAACGTCATTCAACTGCGACATTTGCGCGACGACTGGTTGATGGAATATTGGGATTTGAGACGCACCCATCTCACGGGATTCATCTCCTTCTGAAGCACTAGCATCCTCCGCTAAGACGTTCTTCAATTGCCATATTTTTATCGTCGTCATCGTCATCTTCGTCGTGCATTTCCCAAATCGGATCATTTTCATCTCCTCAGAAAAGTTACCAACTGGAGACGCATGAGCGGCAGGAGAAGCTGGAAGACGGGGAGAATTTAAATAAACTGACCTCACCGGTAAGGGAGCATTCTCGGTTGCGGCGATGTCGACATACAACTCTAGAAAATCTGTCCTTGACCGGTTGCAAAATTCTTCCATTGTCACCTCCAAGTCTTCATCGTCAAGCACTTTCAAACTAATGTATTTATCACCTTGCCACACCCTTGTCGTGATCTCAGTGATACATTGGTTGTCTGGAAGACTTAACTTCTGCCGAATTCTCTGATGCAGTTCGCCAATGGTTGTGTTGCGTTGGATACGTGTCGGCCTTTTTTCACCTTCGAAGATGACACCTCGTCGACCTTCTACCTTCCTACCATTGTAATATAACACAACACGAACAGAATCAGGATTTGAGCTCATTTTTAAATAGAATAAGAAATAAAATTCAAATACTAAATTAAAGATAAATGAATGTTGGTGGAGAAGAGAGATATGAAGAGTGAGAGAAGGGGTGTGAATTGAATGGAGGGGTGGGGAAATATATAGAGCACACATGTGAAGCCACTTTTGGGCGTCATGTGACGCCCAAAAGTGACGTCACATTGTGCAGTAGATGTATAATTTTTTACAAAACAGCATTAAATGCGTAATTATTTAATTTAAATGCATTATTTTAATTTTTTTGCCATTGTAACTTATTTATAAGTCTATCTTACTTAGATCATCAGTTTTTAATAAATTTATTCCTTCAGATATTACTTCTTATAACTAATTTTTTTAAAAATAAAAGAATACAAGTAACACATTATTTATATCCCAAATACGAAGTCGTATATTATCCCCAGAGATGCAGGGATTAAAATATAATTCGTTTTGGGATATCTGAGAGCTGAGAGTCAGAGATGCAGGGACATTGTACTGTTTGGATCGAACCCTTTTTTTTTTTCGGTCGGCATTGCCATACAATTATTGCAAAAAAAAAAAAATTTGTTTCAAAAATAATTTCATCAGGATACATAAATCATTGATTTTGGTGAAGTCGTCATCGACTAGTCATGATGATGGCAGATTTTTTTGGAATATATGCTTCTTCTAATCTTCTCTATATCGATAGATATTTAAATTTTACTTTGATATTTTATAAATAAAATATCATATTATTTTTAAGTTATTGATTTTATATGAAATATCACAAACTAAATAGTAAAATTTATTGAATAATATTCAGTATGAATCTCTTATTGATTAATTTATAATTTTTATAGTTAATATATAATTTTAATAAATAACATTGTATATTTATTTTGAGAGAATGTACATAAACATTAGTGGGATTTAATGAGTTGATTATTTTTTAAAGCTTTTTATCTCTATGATTTTTTTAAAAAAACTTGACATTTAGACTTTTAATAAGATAATCGATTTTTGCATAATATAGAAAATTAATTAAAAGAACTTCGGTGCGAGGTTGTTTAGATATATGAAATATTTGGAAATCATCACTTTTATCATCGTGGCTTAATAAATATACAGTTACAAGCATATCTCTTAATTTCTTAGGTTTCAAAGTTTTACTTAAATTCGTTATGGTTATAAGGTGTATAACTTATCCTCAAAATACTAAAAATTCATGTTTTATTATTATTATTATCTTTTTTTTTGATAACAATGTTTTATTATTTAAAATGTCAAAAGTACTCTCCATAAACAAAAACACTAATTCTAAATGAATTTCAAAAATACCTTTAATTAAAAATAAAACTTTAAAATATTTTCTTATTTAATTATTTATGTTAAATATGCAGTACTACGTACTCAATAAATAATTATCTCCAGTAACACAACACAATTCTAAATAACTAATATTAAAATTATTATGAATATAAAAAAAATAATTGAAAAGAGAACGGAAACGCAATAGATGAGATTTAGCAACAAGGGATAACATTGGAATTGGATTAGGAGTTTAGATGAAGGGCTTTAAGTCTAGACCCTTGGGTCTCTTGCGGACAAAAAAAAAATAATGGGGCCCTCAATTAAAAATAAAAATAAATACTGGCATAGTGTTCGGTGCGTGTGCAGAAGGCAAATTGTTTCTTCTACGACAGCGGGAAAAACTAATTGCCCTTAATAAATGAGCAATAAGGATAAATGAAAAGAGAATGGAAATGCTATGAATTAATGACGATGAATTTAGATAATTTACATTAAATTATAAGTTTAAACTTCAATATTATTCGCGTAATAGAGAAAAATTCAAAAATGAAGTCTTTTATATTAAAATTACACGCGAGGAGTTATGTGAAATTTTTATATTTTTTTTTACATGTATCAAATATATGAAATCCAGTCAAGATTAATAAAGAAAAAGATAGACATAAAGAAATATTTCACTATATCCTTCTTCGACAAGACAAAGTTTACTGTTCGAAAAAAAAAAACTCTTTGAATAAGACAAAATTTACTCCATACATACCACTTACTTTTATAAGTGTTAAATATGAAACTCTGTCAGCAAATTATTCTATTCAACACAACCCAAATTATAGAGAAGGCTTCGAATAAGATCCACCTTAGAACAACCCAAATTAATATTTGAATAAGAACCTATGTCAGCGTTTGAGGCCAATAAATTAAGGCAAAGAGTGGAAGATGAAGAGGAGACAGAAAGCATATGCCAAAAATGTCATCTCCTTTCTTTCAGTACCAAGATTGTGAGACGTTGAAGGAGCCTTCTGACATTTTGTTCGAATCATGTTCAAGCAATGGTGTTCGTGACTCTATCTATGATTCTCTTTCCTTCGATATGGTTGACTTCTCCATGGATTCACAGTCACCAATCAAAGGAAACGACAACGAGCAAAAGCGATTGGTGGTTAAGTCTGAAGGTAAACAAGAGCACACTGAGGAAATGTCGTATATAGGTGTAAGGAAAAGGCCATGGGGAAAATTTGCAGCAGAGATTAGAGATACAACGAGGAATGGCACAAGGGTTTGGCTTGGAACCTTTGATAGTGCAGAGTCTGCTGCTTTAGCTTATGACCAAGCTGCATTTTCCATGAGAGGCCATAACGCTGCACTCAATTTTCCTGTCAAAAGGGTCAAAGAATCTTTGCAAGAAATCGAATATGGTTGCTTGCAAGGATGTTCACCCGCACTTGCACTCAAGGAGTGGCACTGCATCCAAAGAAAATTGTCATCAAAAGCTGGAAAGTATAAAGAGAAACAGGAATCAGAGGAACCAATACCAAACGTGATGGTGCTAGAGGATTTGGGAATTGAATATCTTGAGCACCTTCTAAGCATATCCGGTCAAAGTGCAAGCCCCAGCAATTTCGAATAAATCTGTTGGAGCCATGTGAAGGAAGAAAATGGTCATGGAGAGTCGCCTCCTATAAACAGGTTGATATATATAATCCTACAAACTTAAAAAAAAAAAAAAAAAAAAAAAAAAAAAATTCCAAATTTTTTGTTGTTGTTTTCAGCTAATGTTGTCAACGAATTAAACTGATAGAGACTCACCATAGTATTTGAGAATCATGATGCTGTCAATCAGTACAGACTATAGAGTTTATGGAATTTGCTGACCAAAGAAGTGTATATCAAATCGTTGAACCCGAATACTTTCTCCCAAGCTAATTTATGTTACTCGTTTTTCTAGTTTCTGCCTTTAATGTGTTTGGAATGTGTTCTTGTACCAAATATTGTCCTTCATCCTGCAGAGGTTTATTTTAGGTGTTGCTGCGCAGCCAATTAATTTAACAATCGTTGTATAGTTTCTTCCAAGACATATTCAAGAGACATGCTGAAAAGGATCAAGTTTACCTCACTTTCTACATACATATGCATTGAAAAATATATATATAAAAAACAATTTTATCCTTTCTCAAAGTTTAAACTCTTAGTGAAGGCTAAAAAATAAATTTATGCTTAACATATTAGATACGATTGCACAACATCAATTATATGATTAAAGAATATCATCAAGATGACATATAGCAATTTACAAATGATTTGAAACCTTTATTAATATATTTTAGGAGAAGGTTATATTTACAAACTACACTATGTCTGACTCGTAATATATTCTTGAGTGAAGTATTATTGGTCAGACATAGTGTAATTTGCAAAAATTTGTAAAAAAAGCTTGTAAACGGATACTTTTCCTATGTTTTATATTTCATATTCACTCCTTTGTTTCCATCACA